TTATTATTACTAGCAAAACATGCCCGTGCGTTGCAACGGGAGAAAAACAATATCACACATCCCTGACAAGCATTCTTAAGACCTCACGTATGTGCACCTCTCTATTTCAGCACCACGCCATTTTGAAAATAATATCTAGCTCAATTTTATTAGGTCAGATTCTAACTGGTCAATTAGCTTTATGTGTGATAAACAATTTAATACCTCTATTAATAGTTTTTTCATCCTTTTGAATAGTAAGGCTTATTTTTTATGATGCTTGGATTTGATAGTGAACTTCAAAAAAGTCACATCATCTCTTCTTTCCAACGTCTACCCTGTTGCTAGTTTCATGAAGATGAGATCTTGTTTTAATTACAGAGTTAGCACCAGTCGAAAGCACCTATACGCATGCGCATGTGCTCACACTTAATAATCTCAGACCACAATTACATCAACATCCAATTGTTTTCAGTCTGCTACACAAATTAACATTTTTGGAATAGAAATAAATGTCATAAGATAAAAAAAATCAAGTCTAAAAAAACCCCATCAAACTATTGGATGAGATGAATTGCTGTAAAATCTAGGAGAACTATTCGATTGAAGCTACCAGAAATGATTTGCGCAATGCCCTATGTCAAGTTGGCAAAAAGTGAATAAAATCATCCAGTAGTTCGGCTCACATGAATTAAATCCACATATTTGGCATGTTGCGGACGTTTTACCTTTGTTAACTAAGAAATTGATATTATCAAATAGTTGTATTTTTTTCGTCAAGGAAAAGCAAACAAAATCTTACCACGGGGAGGTTACTTTCTGCAAAGAAAGAGAAATATGAGATTACTTCCTACAGAGAAGGAGAAATTTGTGGTTACTTTCTGCAGAGGAGAAATCTGACCTCAAAAGAACAATTCTGTTTTGCACATACACAGGCTGATTGATCTTTGCAGCCGATTGGAACACACAACCACGCACGCACACGAGTACGGCAAATTGATCCTTTCATTTGCAGCACACTCGTAAATCCATCTTTTCTTTAAATGTACAGCGTACACATCCCTTCTGAACTCCATCCTATCTTTCTTTTAATATGCAACCTTCACATATCCCTTCTGAACTCCATCCTTTAATTAAGGATAGCCAAGACGGGCTCAATTCCTTTTATTCCAAATCCATCTGTCCAACATCCCTCCCTGGGATCCATCTTTCTTTCCTGTACGATTTGGAGCGTGCACAATTCACTCCTCGTGAATTCATCTTTCCTTTAATTTCTGGTCCTTTTTAGGTGTCTTGCTCATATTCTGGGCAACTCTCTATTGTATATAAATTGATGAAAATTGCTCTGAAGGAGCGATGTGGGACTAATAACGTGAGGAATCATTGCTCTGTTGGTAGTCAATAATAAAAAAAATTCTTATTGGATGGATGAGATGGTTGGTGGTTCGAAGCTATGGTTGAGCCAGCAGGGTTCGAGTCCGTCCGGGTTCTATTGGCATTTTATTTTTAAGCTGACTATTCTTTTTGGAAAACCAGGACGTGGCTGCCGGCCCAAGGCCCAATAGCTCAGCTATCGATAGAGTCTCACTTACGACGGACAAAATTTTCTTAACGTACGAAACGGACGAAAATTTAGGAGGAAGAAGCGACCACCCTTTTATTATTAGGTGAAGATTAGGGAAAGATAGGCTGCCTTCCAAATGGGAACCTTTCACGCAATCCCATTGACAATTTCGTGAAACTATGGAGAAGAGGGTTTTCGAAGGCAAAGGGACAACCTGGTAGCGGCAGGGAAAGGCTCCGATGGGGCACCCCAGGCCCTCCTGCAACATGTCAAGGTGCACACTCTTGCACCTACTAGGTAGCACAACACACTTGAGCAAATTGATGCGCAACCCTGACACTTTCCCAAAGTCTTTGAGAATAGCAGAAAACATCTTGGTCAGTTGGGTGTTGTTTAGCTCCAAAAGATAGTTTTTTCTTTTATTTTATACAAGAGAGAGTTTAGGGCTAAAATAAATACCAATAAAATTCTAAAATTTGTAGAAAAATTCACATAAATACCTGGGCTCTTATGTGACTCTGTGAACTTTTTGTTATGGCCTAAATGCAATCTTTCAAAAATATTATTTTTGCAAAATAGTTAATTTGAGTATTAAAATATTTCTCAATTAACTTCAAATTTTCCAAATAGTATTCTAATAATTTTTCCAACTCTTATTTTGAAGAAGTCATGTTATCTTGTCCCTTAATATTTTTCTTGAGTGGAAAAATTATTTGAATATTGAAAATTGCAAAGAAAATACATTGGAATTGAAAATTGGGATGTTACACGTTTATGTGTTATTCTGTCAATTTGGGTCAAACAATGTGCCGGTAGTTGCACCTGGAGTTGGGAAACCAAGCCGAATGACTACTCTCGATGATCCCGCTCCGAACACCAAAACCGTGTGAACTCCTAGTTATGCTGATGAACTCTGTGCTTTCATATGCATGCCATTTGTGCTTTTCTTAACTTGCTATGCTAGAGAATATTGTGTGCTTGAAAACATTGTGTTTGTGTGCTTGAGACATTGTGTTTGTGTATTTGAGGCCATAGTTTGTTATGTATGTTGTGCAATGATGTTTGGCTATAATGTGGCAATAGCTGAGTCATTTGGGAAGTGATATTTGTGCTATATATATGCGGGATATTATTTGTATAAGTGATTTGTTGCAGGGCTAATTAAAAATATATTAAAACAGCCCCTAACAGAGGCTCTGCAAAGTGCAATACTCTGCTAAACATTTTTTATCGAGTGTAGCACTCGGCAAAGGTGCCCACATGGCGCCACCGGGTATCTTATTGGACTCTTTGCTGAGTTGAACGGGCCAGATCTTGACAAACATCACAATCTGGGATTTTACTGGACATCTTTGCCGAGGACGGAACTCGGCAAATGTCAAGAACCTGGAAATTTTGCCTAGATACGGAGTGTGTACTCCGCAAACTGTGCCAGTCTTTGCCGCGTGCTACAGAATGAATGTAGGCGAAGCTGCCGTGCCACGCTTCGGTCACCCATAAGACACGTTTTGCCGAGTACGATGCCAACAATCTCGGCATACTTTAGATCTCGGCAAACATCGATGTCCACGTGTCATCTACTCGTGCGTCCGTCTTTGCTGAGTATGTCCGCCATAGATACTCAGCGAAGACGATGCCTCGGCACACTTTTTGCGCCATATGTCGCGCTCTGGGGCTTCCAAATTCACCGAATATCTATGGAAGGCTCTCAACAAAATGGTCTGCCACTTGGCTGCCGACCTCTCCGTTCGGCCCATCAAGTGCCCCCACCTAGCCCTAGGGCCTGGCAAAAGGTTTGTCAGAGTCCCCGATGGACGGCTCTTGGCGAAGTGCCAATTACCTGAAGGGTTCGGGCCGATTACCTTGAGCCGATAACTACACATGGAAGCAAACTGCGGCACAGCTGCGTGGCCTGGTAGACAAACTAGCAGGGCAGCTGCCCAAATGGAAGGCTGCATACATGCCCAAGAGTGGACGACTGACCCTCGTGCAGTCCATCTTGTGCCAACCACGCGATGATGGCATTAGATCTACCACAGAAGACAATAACAACCATGAACAAACTCTGTCGGGGATTCCTCTGCTGTGCAAAATCACAAGCTAATGGTGGGCAATGTGCAGTAGCGTGGGGGCAGGTCTGCTCACCAAAGTGCGCAGGAGGCTTGGGTATTCCCAACCTGGGCTGGCTCAATGTTGCGATCACGATGGCCATGGCTACAGAGGTCAGACCCTTCCAAACCACGGGCTGAGTTCGTCATAAAGGTGCCGGAGCACTCCATGCAGCTATTCCATGCAGCAACTAGAGCAACTGTGAGGGATGGAAGAACGACATTATTCTGGGAGGACCGTTGGCAGAACAGGATGCGGATCCCAGTGATCATGCCGAAACTACACCGCATCATGGCCAAGAGTACGCGCTCTTCGCGCACAGTACAACAAGCCATCGAGGAAGGCACCTGGGCAGAAGACATAGGGCCAGAGCTAACAGAACCAATGCTCCACAAGTACTTACAGCTATGTTCCAGAGTGCAGGCAACCCAACACCAACCGGGGCACGCAGACACTATTAGTTGGTCCTGGGAACAGAATGGACAGCACTCCCCGCGCTCAGCCTATGATGCCAAGTTCTGGGGACGGGAAGTTATTCCGACGGCTACCTTCACGCAGAACTTTGGTGCACCAATGCGATGCCGCTTCTTCGCATGGTTGGCACTCAGGAATCGATGTCGGACCTCGGACAGATTAGCGAGACGTGGATTGGACCACCAGGACGCTTGCCCCTTCTGTGACCAGGCAGAAGAGTCGATTCAACACATTCTGCTAGACTGCCTTTTTGCCAGAGAAGCGTGGACGATACTATGTCGGGCTTTGGGTAAACCTGAGTGGGAACTGGCTTTGTCCAGCTCACTGCAGTACACTCGCGCATATTCGAGAAAAACACACATTGCCGAGTGAGAATTGGCATTCGCCGAGTTTTGCTGGAACTCGGGAAACTCGGAAATTCAAGTAGTCCGTCCATTTCTCATGCATGTATTCCACCTGTATTTGTTCCGATTGCACTCTTGGTAAACATAATGGCACTGATCCCAAGGAAAATGTTAACGGCCGGTGAAATGGTCCAAATTAAGTATTTGTCGCCCTGGCATGGACGTCGCTCTCCTCCGAGAAACTTGATAAGATGATTCCGATCGGCCGGACTAGTGTACGCAACGAAGCATATGGTACGCATGCTGGTCCACTTGTCACTGTCCCTTGAACGTCCATGCTGTACGCACATTATTACTGTTGTCCTGGTCCTAAGATGTCACTTACAGTGGTTCAGACTTTTAGGTCTATCTACATCTACTCCTAGTTTGGAAAACGTTACGTACATTAATGGCTGCTCAATGTATTTTCCTCGATCGCACAACTAGAAAGGGACCAGTGGATCCCTCGATCAGAACTCAGAGCAACAGCAATGGCTGAGCTGAAGCTATGCTTGTGCTCAAGTAGCCATCTCCTCGTCTTGTGCTTCTTGCTCCTCTGTGTACATGTCCATCATGCGACCGCTATCTCGTTCAACTACAGCTCCTTCAGCTCCGGTGATTTCAGAGAGGAGGATGACGCGATGGTCACCGACGGCAGGATTGAGCTCGTCGGCGACGAGGCCGGCGGTCGAGCAAGGGGCCGCGTTCTGTACAAGCAGCCGGTGCAGCTCTGGGACCCCGTCACGGGCGAGACGGCCGGCTTCACCATGAGCTTCAACTTCAGCATCCAGTCCCTGCCTAACCGGAGCAGCACCCCCGGGCACGGCATGACGTTCTTCGTCGCGCCGTACATGCCCGAAATGCCGCAGGATTCCTACGATGGCTGCCTTGGGCTCTTCGACGAGAAACATGCCCCGAAGAACGGGACGACGGCGATCTCCGCCAACGCCTCCGGCAGCGCCAGCTTCGTCGCCGTGGAGTTCGACACCCACCGTGACGCGTGGGACCCGAGCAGCCGGCACATCGGCGTAGACGTGAACAACGTCGACTCAGGCGGCAACTTCAGGATCTTGCCAGAAGGCAGCCTCGTGGACGCCGGCGTTATGTCTTCGACGGTGAGCTACGATAATTCCACGGCGAGGCTGGACGTCGTCCTCCGCGTCAGTGGCGCCGAGTATGCCCTCGGCGCTACCGTCGACCTGCGAAGCTTGCTGCCGGTGCAGGTCGCGTTAGGCTTCTCGGCGGCCACCGGTGATGCCTTCGGCAGCAATCACACGTTACTCTCGTGGTCCTTCCACTCCACGCTCCCGACGAGGAACTACACGCCATCTACCTCGTCATCGTCAACCAAGAAGGCCACCCTACAACTCAGAGCCGGGGTTGCCGCCGCAGCCGTGCTGGTGCTCCTGCTCGCGGTCGCCGTGGCGGTGCTGTTCCGGCGTGCGAGCAGGAGAGACAGGCAACCAGACGACAAAGACATGCTCGCCGGCGACATGACCCCGGACTCCCTCGATGCCGACGGCGATGAGCTCGGTTCCAGCACGGGACCCCGGCCGATCCCGTACGCCAGCCTAGCGGCGGCGACGAGGAACTTCGCGGAGGAAGGGAAGCTGGGGCAGGGCGGATCCGGGTCGGTGTACCGGGGCCACATGAAAGAGCTCGGCGGCCGCGACGTCGCCGTCAAGGTATTCCTGCGAGGGGCGTCCTTGGAGGGGAGGAAGGAGTACAGGTCGGAGGTCACCATCATCAGCAGACTGCGTCACCGGAATCTTGTGCAGCTAATCGGCTGGTGCCATGGCCGCAGGCGGCTGCTGCTGGTCTACGAGCTCGTCCACAACGGCAGCCTCGATGGGTACCTCTACAGCAACACCAAAAACGACGTCCTGACTTGGCAAGTTAGGTACGCATGCTTCGAGCCACGTGCACATCCATGTCATTCTAGTCGTATTCTTTACTTACTTTTCTACCTTGACTAGATGAGCCTAACTTTTGGTTAACACTTATTGTGGACTAGAAAAATCGTCGTACCATTTGAGCTGTCTTTTTCTAGCTTTGATTGACTCCATTGAGCTCTAAATTCTTGGTCGATGCTATTATTGGAAAAGCCTAAGAACTATAAAACCCCATAATAAAAAGGTTTGCTGAGTGTTAGACTCGAGAAAGGGAACTTGGCTCGACTTCTGTTGGCAAACAAGTTTGCCAAGTCCTATTTGTCGGGCACTCGCAAACTCTTTTGCCGAGTGTAAAAGAAAGGCGCTCGACAATGAAATAGTCTAGACGGAACAGAGTCCAATGGTGCCATTGTGATGTGCCACAGCGGTAGTTTGCCATGTGTTGCACTTGGCAAAGTTGAGGGGGTTTGCTGAGTGTTACACTTGGTGAATCATTTTAGAGTAATTAAAGAAAATGCGATCGACCTGAGCCTAGCCCAACCATCCTACACAGGGTCGCCGGGATGTCTGGCAGAGGCTTGGGAAGACCATCACGGCAAGGACCCCCCGTGCATCTTCGGTTGTGCGACGCAGGCAGAGGGCGGCGGTCGCGGGGTCGCCATCGAGCTCAGTGGAAGCGGCTTCAAGCCCAGCAAAGCTCCATGTTCATTAGGACAAGGTCGTCGCCATGTAGTGCCCCTGGATGCGCCGGAGATGGCCGCTGCCGCCGCATGTCTATTCGCTGCCTCTGGCGTTGCTGGCCCTTGAGGAGGGAGCAGCTGACTCTAAGATGAGAGTGAACAGCAAGGTCAAGCGAGTGACATGACCGCAGGTGAAATTCTAGGAGGCGGCCCAAGATGTTTGGCCACAACCGCGGGTGAAATTCTAGGAGGCGGCCCAAGATGTTTGGCCACAACCCGGGTGAAATTCTAGGAGGCGGCTCTAGATGTTTGGCAGTGGTAGCGACATCATGCCCGCATGGTCTTCGGCGACGTGTCTCAAGAATAGAGCGGCGATTGGGTGAAGGGAGAGAGAGTTAGAAGAGAGAGAGAGAGAGAGAGAGGGATTGATAGAGAAGGAGAGAGATAAGAGAGGAGGGAGAAGGGAGAGAGGAATAGGCAGCCATTGGATATGTAGGAATGAAACGGTGGGGAGGTATGATCCACGGAAGCGTGTCTTTACGGAGTGTCTCTGAAAATGCACATGGAAACATGTTTGTTTTTTCTTTCTTTCCTTTTTTCTGTGTTCTCTTCCATTTTTGTGTAAGGCCTAAGCATAGGCTCACTAAACACAAATAAGAATTGATAAAACATTTTCTTGAACTGTTTGACGGACTTGTAGTTAAAAAACTCTAGAAAATTCACTTCATGACTTAATTATAGCAAATGGATTCCAAAAATGCTAAATTTTCACATGTGTCATGTAATGGTGTATTTTGAATGTCGAAAAAAAACTTCATGGCCAACGGATGAAGCAGGGATCCCTTCACCTTTAAACCTGATCTGTTCCCTTTTGAAACCACAATTCTTTGTGGGAGATGCAACTTTTATGAATCCTTCTCCAATTTTTACGACAGTTTCTAGGGATCATATAATGACACCATCCCAAATTTCATGTTTTTTAGGATTTGTTCGTATTTTCGGAATTAAAAAACCAATAACCTCCATCTTTGCGGTCAAGTCTTGGCACCCTAATGTTTGAAATTTCTTTACTTTTTTGGGTATGCCTTAAACATAGACTCAAGAATAGAAATAGGATCTTTCAACCTCATTTTACCAACTTTTCATGCACTTGTAGTTCCAATTTTAATTATATTCACTAATACTTAGAAAATGCATTTGATGACTTAAATAGAGCAAACGGAACCCGTAGAATTATTTTCAAGGCCAACAGATGAAGCATCAATCACCTAGCCTTCAAACTTGATCCATTCCCTCTTGAAACTATGATTCTTCCTTGGAGATGGTTCGATTTCTAAGGAGTTTACGTCACAACTTTTACGAAAGTTTCTCAATTGTTTACCACCGCCTTTAGGGATCATATCATGACATAATGTCAATTTTGATGTTTCTTAGACTTCGTTTGCACTTTTAATAAAAAACAAAAAACCAATAACCTACATGTTTGGGACAAGTCTTGACACTTTCATGTTTGGAATTTCTTTTATTATTTTTGAGTGTAGCCTAAACATAGACTCAAGAATACAAATAGGATTTTTCATAGACGGTCCACACTCGTACACGACTAAAAGCTATGAAAGCAAGTCAAGCAGTGCTAGATGATGATAAAATAGAGGCACATCCTTCTTTTGTAGAGTTAATTCCTGGATTGGACATTCTAGCGGCAATCGGAACTTAGTCGGAGTGCTTGGATGAAATCTGATTTGGCTTGCTTGTGCCCTTACTTTTGTTATTATCAGATACCAGATCATTCTTGGACTGGCGTCTGCCGTGCTGTACCTCCACCAAGAATGGGATCAATGCGTCGTCCATGGTGACATTAAGCCGAGCAACATCATGCTGGACGAGTCCTTCAACACCAAGCTAGGCGACTTCGGCCTGTCGCGGCTCATCGACCACGGCATGAGCTTGCAGACAATGACCGCCATGGCTGGTACCCCGGGCTACCTTGACCCAGAGTGCGTCATCACCGGCAAGGCGTCCACCGAGTCCGACATGTACAGCTTCGGTGTCACGCTGCTGGAGATCGTGTGCGGGCGGCGACCGATGGCGCCGCCCAGCGCCGGTGCGAGGGACGGCCAGGTGTTCCGGCTGCTGGAGTGGGTGTGGGACCTCTACGGCAGGGGCGCCGCCCTTGACACCGCTGACCAGCGCCTCGGCGGCGTGTTCGACCGCTGGGAGATGGAGCGGGTGGTGGCCGTTGGGCTGTGGTCCGCGCACCCGAACCCGAAGATGAGGCCGGCGATAAGGCAGGCAGCCGAGGCGCTGCAGTCAAGGAAGTTCAGGATGCCGGTGCTGCCGCCCAAGATGCCGGTGGCCGTGTACCTGCAGCCTTTCGGAGGTACCACCATGGAGTACGGCGACAGCACCACCACGGTCGGGTCCGGGGTTACCACGCAGCAGCACTCGTCGTCCAGCTGTACAACAGCGACGCAATCTTCAAATACTAGCATGCCATCGGCTGTGAGTGAGGAGTTGAACCCCAATATAGAGTAGTGGACTTCAGAATTCAGATCGTGGTGGGCGGAAAAGAAGAGTTTCGCTCCAAAATATTTGTACTGTCGGGATCAATGCAGTCACGTTGCTTTTAACTGCACTAATAGATTTTATAAACTAGTCCTCCGTCCCGTAATGTAAGACGTTTTTTGACATACAACTAAGGTCTTACATTATGGGACGGAGTAATAGATTGTACCTGTGCGCTGGTTGGTGTTAGAATCGGTTGTAATATAATTTATTGAAATGCAGTTGTATGACAGTATGAATATTTGAATTAATATTGAGATGTGAACTGTTTTTTCTTTGGAAGAAGCAAAGGGGAAGAGAATAATTATAGACAGTTGTTTGACTCTGAGATTGGTTCTCTCCTATTTAGTTACCTAGTGAGAAGTGGTGATCACATCTTATACTGTTCGCAATCAAATAGCGTGTAGTTTCTCCGCCCAGTGCAACACATGCGACCAAATGTCAAATAAATATTGCTTCCCTCATGCCTAGATGCAGACAACCAAACTATGTGTAGATGATGATGTTTTTGGCTTGTTTTCACCGCAGCAAGGCCCATATGAGACACGCACGGAAAGAGGCAAAAATGATGCATTCCAACCAAACATGTCTTTAGAGCATCTACAACCAGGCGCCCTATAACCGACCTATACACCTAGGCCCGCAGTTGGTCACTATGCAGACCAGAAACTAGCACCCAGTCAGGTGCCCAAACGCCCAACCTGTCCCGCAATCCCTATATTCAGCCCATATCTGGGTGGATATGGGGAGGACCAGATGCACCCTGACACCGGTGCCACGTCAGACCGACCCTCTATGGCCCGCGCCACCCCCACCATTGTCCCCACAAAAACCAGCCAACAAACCCTAGTCCCACTCCTCTTGCCCGCTCTGCTCCTCTACAGTCTTTTCCCCTTCCTATCCGCACGTTTTCCCATCCCCTCCGCCATGGACTCTCCGAGCTCATCACACGAAGAGGATCTTGCGCTTAGCATTGATCGCTATCGCTCGCAGATGGATAGGGGAGGGATCTCCTCCTCCTCGGCATCGTGTCGTCATGGGCGGGCAGCTCCTTCTTCGCCATGCCCCGCCGGGCCTGACTCGCTCCCTGCCATCTCCGGCCAGGCGGCAAGGCGGGCAACCGCGCCCGACACTGCCAGCAGTTGTCCCTCCTGGGAGCCTCTGGGTGTTGGTGTAGGCACCACCCAGCGGCGGCCGCGCCAACGGCAGCCAGTGACAGAGGGTCGTGCTAATCGGTTTGTGTAGAAGGCGGCCCGCCATCAGCGTCACAAAATGCAGGGGCGTTTTGACGGCCGTTGGAAGAGTCGGAGAATCTCCATAGGAAGAAGGTGGGGGCGGCGGATAGAGCTGCATGTCTCGCGGCAGATGGCAGGCTAAATGAGCTTGTTGTAGGGTGGAACCCTAGATGGAGATATTTCACGAATTGAAGAGGAAATTCCCAAGAACAAGGACACAAAGTGGAAAAACAAGAGGAACACTCAAATTGACTTGATCCAATCACACATGTGCTACATCCAATCATACAAAGAGATATACAAAGGTCAAAATCCAACACAAGAAGATATTAGAGGTCAATAGTTCATCCCAATCCTATGAGGAAAGAGGTCTTGATGATCCTATGATGGGGATCCTTCTCCAAGAGGAGGCCTTGATATCCACTAGAGGATCTTCTTCCTTAGGAGGTCATGATCACCAAGAGGATGAAGATGAGCAAAGTTCTCTCAATCTCTCACATATACTTTGCTATCCTCTCTAATGAGCCAGGGGAAGAGTTTATATAGGCTAGGGACGGAATAAGAGGAAAACGGGGGTACAAGGGTCATTTAGCCCTAAATGCACACATGCATATTGGGTGGAGTCCGGGCACCCGGGGTAAAGGGGTCCGTGCACCTGGAGGGGATGTGGAGGGAGATGTCCGGGCACCCGGACCAGTCAGGGGGGCCGGTTGTAGGTGGTCGGGCACCCGGGAAGGGCTATGGCCGTGCCAGGTCGCGGCTGGAGGGAGGCCGGGCACCAGGGGGCTGGGGCCCGGGCGCCCGGGGCGGCGGATGGCAAATCCCAGGTGGAGGCCGGGCACCGGGGGCCAAGTTGGCCGGGCACCCGGGGCGGCCAGGTGCTCCATCCGGCTGTATGGAAGGGCTGGGCACCCGGGCTGCTGGTGGCCGGGCACCCGGGGTGGTCTGGGGCCTCCTTTGCTTCGCGCTTCGGCCATCTTTCTTCCTTACCTTCTTCCATGTGTGCTTGCGTCTCCGTCCTCGCGTCTTCACGGTCATCTCCTTGGTACCTAAGAGTCCATAACATCTCCATTTGAGGTAGGCCCCGATTCACATGCGAATTCAAATGAAACTCGAACAGGAAAGAGTTAACCTCGGTTTCAATGGCATGTGTGTGTGCTCTTGTCATTGGTTTTCTTCGTGCTTGTGGTGGTGATGAGACGTCCATGGAGATGAGCGAGGGATGCTCCACATCATCTCCCCCCTTGAGAGAGATCCGTCCACGGATCGTGATCCTCATTGTCGTGGTCCTAAGTCTGACAGTAGAATGGGGGTTAGGTATGGAGAGGCAAGATCTTAGCTATGGAGTAGTTGTATACGCAAGGGATTTACGAGTTCAGGCCCTTCTCGGAGGAAGTAACAGCCGTACGTCTCGGAGCCCGGAGGCGGTCGACTGGATTATGAGCGTATGAGTTACAGGGGTGCAAACCCTTTACACTGAGGAGGGGGTGGCTTATATAGAGTTCGCCAGACCCCTCCGGCCCTCAGTTATGCGGGGTTTAAAGTACATTAAGATAGGGTGTTACTGGTAACACCCTCATAAAGTGCCATGAAGACTATTAAAGCTACTTAATGACAGACCGTTGCGTGCTGAGTGACTTTACGTCTCATGGCCGTCGTGTGGTTAGCTTCATGGTCGAGTGGCTATCTTCATCGTCGAGTGTCCTTGAGTTCGTCGAGTGAAGTCCCTCTTGGTCGACTGGAAGGTAGCTTCTTCTAAGGATGTCCTTGGGTAGGGTATCCTAGATAGGTCCATGACCCTACCCTAGGTACATGACTTCATCATTAGCCCCCGAATGGATCGAGGTTCGAGTGAGGAAGGGGTTGATAATTTTCTCCGACCTATTTCCCGTGCTCTGATTATGTCGTATCCTAGATCAGCGATTTTTCTTTTTGGCGTTGGCATTAACTTTTCTTTCAGTCGCCTTGATCCATTCCTTTCTTCTGTCGAGTGAACTTTTGAACTTAGTGAACTTCCGAGCGACGGATCGCAGGAAATCTATCGTCTGACAGATTGATCTGCCGTTAGCGGATTTTGTGGGATCTGAATTTTGGGAAGCGCGCAAAGCAGGGCGGACCGCGGTACTCGGATGGGATAAGGCATGGACGCCTCGATTTCTGCGCTGCCTTTTTCGCCACGTATCATGCGTGCGCGACTGTTTCGGGATGTGACAGGACCGCCCGGGCCTACTTGTCAGCTACTCGGAAGCGTCCTTATATAAAGCATCGGGCGAGGGTTTTTGAACAGTGCCTTCTCATTCTCCTCTCTGCCCTCTTTGCCTCCGCCCGCTGCGCCTGCTCTCGCCTCCACCTATCCACTCCTCGCGTGCTTCGCCGGCGACAATGGTGAAGGAGAAGACGGCGGCCTTGGAGCGTGCGAAGAAGGCGACGGCGACGGGGAAAGCGAAGGGGAGAGCGTCCAGTCGGGGCGGATCTTCATCAAGGTCCCGTCTGCCAAAAGGTTGGGTCCAAGGGGATTGGATCCGTTCGACCATCACCGAGACGGATCTCAATGACCTGGCCAACGAGGGTCTGATCCCCCATGGGTCAGCAAGGCTTCTGGGGACCAAGTGTCAACCGCAGCCGCAGGAGGGTGAGTGCGTTCTCCTAGCCACTCATGTAGACCGTGGATTCTCTCTGCCGCCGAGTGTTTTCTTCCGAGGGTTTCTGAACTTCTTTGGGGCGCAACTCCACCATTTCACTCCCAATTCCATTGCCTATCTTGCCGCTTTCGTGTCCATGTGCGAGAACTTCCTGGGTTGTCGACCACACTGGGGTCTCTTTAAGCACATATTCACCTGTCGCTCACAGACGGTGAAAAAGGCGAGTCCGGATGATGAGAGGACTAAGGTTATCCAGATGTGCGGGGGTCTTGGGATTCAGATGAGGAACAAGAGTACTTTCCCGGCCATGACCCTTCCTGAGTCGGTCAGAGGGTGGCAGTCGACTTGGTTCTACTGCCAAGATGAGTCGACACCGGGGCAGTCGACTGGTCTCCCTCCGTTCTCCATGGACCGAGTGGACAAACCCTCTTCTCTGAAGGTGCTCCCTGAGGAGAAAGCTCAGGTAAAAATGTTGATGGAGCGCGTAGTCCAACTCGTTCGGGACGGAGTGACGGGTATGGATCTTCTGGAGGTCTTCCTTAGACGGCGCATCCAACCGCTTCAGTACCGAGGCCACCCGATGTGGCTGTACTGTGGTACCGAAGACACCACTCGGGTCCATCCAGAAGCGGTCGACGCCGCCACACTGGAGAGGTGGGTGACCGCAATCATAGGGAATAAGGACAACCCTCGAGGGGCTAGGAGGATCCCACCACTCGACTGTACCTACACACCGGACACGGTATGACCACTTATCTCCAATTGTAATCTTGCTTTATTCATTCTGCTTCGCTACGAATTGGTCGATTGACCTTTGTCTTGTTTTATTGTCTGACAGGCCACCACTGAGTTATACTCGATGCCCAATGGAGCGCAAACGCCGACCGAGGAGGAGGAAGGAAGGTGGGGCGAAAGCTCGGAGGAGTGGGATTTGGATGCTGACGATGATGATGAGGGTGATGACTCTGGTGAGGAGGAAGAGGAGGAGGAGGAGGAAGTTGTACCTCCTCGCTCGGAAAGACGCTCGAAGCTTGTCCATGATCCCGCGGCCGAGCGTGGTAAGGGGGTCACAACCGTCATGCAGTCGTCCAAG